GCCTTCTGCCAAAGTCTTGTCTGTGAGTAATTACTGTGAACAAATTGGCTAACAGTAACCTTGTGTCGGCGTGACTCACCATACGGAGGTAAGGGTCTGAACAGAACCCATAGTGATGGAAGTCTTGGGTGCCATCCCTAAACATCTGCAGCACCATTTGAGCATAGACAACTAATTGACAAAGCCAGTGAATTGCAGAAGGCAGCTTTACTTGGGACAGCTTACATTCTGTGACAATATCTTTAACACCATCAAGCCTTGATGCAGCTGCCTATCCCAGCTCCTTGGCAAGGACTTGATAGATGAATAAAAATGCCAAGTCCAGTCTAAACATCTGGCTGTCTGTGTGACCAATTGAATGGAAGAAATGTTCTGTTTTGCATACACCTCAGATGAGCATAGGATGAAAATTTATAATTTTACTGAGTTTACTGAGAGGTAAATCAATAGATAAAATTCTATATTTTTTTTCAGAGCAAATTCCAAGAAACACAGTACACACACATGTATGTATGCACATGCATACATACATGTATGTATGTGTGTGTATGCATGTGCATATGTGTATATATGTCTATGTATATTTAAACAATCTAACTATAACAAGATTTTTGCATGGTCTTGTTTAGTTCTTGTGAAAAATGTCTTACTTTGGGTTATGTGGTTCAAAGCAAGCGGCATACATAAAATTGAATTTGTCAACAGTTCAGTGTGCTGTTGACATCTTGGTGAGGAATGTCATAAAAACCTTCCTCTGTCCAAAGCAGATGTGATACACCCAGCTTCATAGTGTTTCCAAATACAAGTCTGTGAAAATGTGTTCAATGACAAAATGCAATGTTTGAATTATTATACTTAATAGAATGAGGCATTAAAAAAAACCCTTGCATTGCAATTATACTCCATGGGTTAAAATTTGACCAGATTTGTAGAAATGTGGTCATCTTCAAGAAATGAACTGTTTTTACTCTAGGATACACACCTTCCCTTGTCTGAATGTTGGATTCTACGGTGCTGAAGAAATTATCTATCCTCTTAACCATACTACATGTTGGCAGAATCAATATATTAGAGAAACTGAGTTGAATAATTTGTGGGAAACCATCCATTCTCTTCTTATACAATGTGAATGAAACTGTTATTATTGAATAACAATAAGTTTAGTTTGTTATATTGTTTGTAATGCACTGTTAACCCAGTTTTAAGATTTAGCGTATTGTGTGTTTTTGTTTTCAGGATCCTGTGGAACTCATGCCCCCTACATGAGACCGGTCTATCCAACCAAAACCTTCCCAAACTTGTACACTCTGGCAACTGTAAGTTTTCTTTTTCTTTCTGTGTACAAATACAAATATATTTACAAATACTTCTTAAGTATTAGCATGGTTGGGATATTAAGACTCTTGAATATATTATCCTCTTTCCTCTTTTGAAACAGCTCGTTCATTTTGAGGATGGCTGTTTATATTCATGGGGCAGAGAAATAATCAAGATTATGTAATTTAGGAAGAGTTGAGAAAAGACAAACTCTAATCATTGAAATATATCTCGACATGTAGCTTAAAGTTGTTCCATAAGAGGTACCCCCTGCAAGTATAATGTATCCATCCTATTCATGCTGGCTGCTGATTATGGATATGAAATACCAAATCTGGAGGGTATTGTCTTGGGAATTTTGTCAGAATGATATTTAGAAGATAATGTTTGTAGCTCAGGATTGAACTGTGAATGTCTTTGGTGGCTTTCTGAGCTTGCTGGTTTCCTTGCAGACATTTCATGTCTGGTAGCACTGATGATGTTACCTAGTTTGGTAATGAAATGCCTGCAAGAAAACAGCCAAATTTCAAGGAGCACCAAGGACACTATCGAACACTGGTGGGATACGACCGGTACGCCCCAGTATGGTATGGTGCTCCGGAGGGCACACCCACCCGCCCACCTGCTCTCTTTACCTATATTTGAGTGACCAGGACATTTGCGCATACGCACAGAGCATTTGGCGCCTGTGCGACACTCTGCCAAGTAGCTGGAGCATCGCGGGTGGTGGGTCCGGTGGGTCTGGTCCACATGGTGGACGCCCGGCCCTGTTGCAACATACCGGTTGCAACGGGAGCCGGAACTCACCACTGCTATAGAATTATCTTTGACTATAAGTGGAAGCTTCAGTAGCATGTTTAGATACAAAAGGAAGACAGCAATAATGCAAAATAGATATTATGAATTCTGGGTAATAAAATGTGATCTAGTCTGATTAACTAATTTACTTTTGCTCAAAGGGACTCTACCCTGAATCTCATGGAATAATTGGAAATTCAATGTACGACCCTGTGTTTGATGCTATTTTTAACCTTCGAGGAAGAGAGAAATTCAATCACCGATGGTGGGGAGGTCAACCGGTCAGTTTTATTTGACTTTGGTCCATTATGGTTAAATCTCATAGCTAGCTGTTTTCACCCCTTTACATGCAATTAATTTCAGTCAGTACTTAATTCAGTCAATGCCAATTTTCTCTCCCTCTCTTTTTGTACTTGCCTTAGTACCTTCTCAGTATCTTCTCAGATTGAAAATAACTTGAGACTGCTTAAGCTTCTTTTTATATATTTTATGTAGCTGTATTGTTGGGCTTTATGTTCTATTTCTCATCTGAATTACTTGTTCTAAACCCTTCTAGGAATTTGATCAATGCTACATAATTCTCAGATCCAAATGCTTAAATTCTCAGGGGCAGTTTTAGAAACCAACATTTAAGTTGGTTTTTAAAAAACGTTTTTATTGTAGGGAAGTTTGTCTTTATAACACAGACATTTTGATCCATTGTAATCTGATTATATTTTCCTCATTAGATATGGATTACTGCTGCTAAGCAAGGAGTAAAAGCTGGAACATTCTTTTGGTCTAAGTAAGTGTTGATTTTTAGATAGTGGAAATTCATACATAAAAGAGTTTCAGTAACAAAGCTACAATCCTAAAAGGCAGGTATTTGGAACCAAATGCTCTTATAGGGCTTAATCCTCAAATAAAGTTGAAATGGATTTCCTTGGCTTTTAAAATCAGACGGCACATTTTCCACTCTTTTCTTGCTTCTTTAGAAGGGATTAATTTATATTTAGAATGTGCTCCTTTTGTTACTTCTTAATACCTAGTCACCTACATAGTGTTTTTCTGCAGTGCTTAATTGAACATTCTTTCAGGAATCAGTTGACTGAGGGATGAGAAATCAGTGATCTGCAGTGGTGGTTGGAGTGAGATAGCTTGTTTTTCTACGTGTTTCCTTAAAATGTTATGTGTGTCTTCTGGTTGTAAAGGTATAATCCAGCCTTCATTTACAAGTACTTTGCCACAGTACCTAATCTAACTTACTCTGCTTTATCAACCAATGTCATCCGGCATCAGTAGTCAAGAAGCTGATAGGAATACATGAATAAAAGGAAGATATGAATATAGTCATCCCCGACTTACAACTTATATCCAGAATTATGTTGGTAAATCATGCCAATCATTAAGTGGGACATCCCATAACTAACTCAATGTTACGATATTTTGCAGTGATCTTTAATCAAATAAACCATGATAGTTAACTGAATGCTGTAGTTGCTAAGCAAACCATTTTCTGCCATGGGCGTTCTTTTTGTCCAAAATTGGAAGTAAAGGCCGGTTTCGGAAAAAACGATAAATGGTGGTCACATGACTACAGGATGCTGCAAAGATCCATAAATGCAGTTTGGTTGCCAAGCACTCAAAATGTGATCAGGTAACCCCCAAGGGGAAGGGGGAAGCCATTGGACTTCAAATCTAGGTTGTAAGTCTATTTCGTGGGGGTCTGTTATAATTTTGACTCCGGTCATAAGTCAAAGAGTACCTGTATGTAAAACAGCATCCTGTTGTTGTGGCCTGTTACTTAGCCACCAATATGTCAGGCTGAAGGGAGTATCTAGCCACAATCCCAATTAGACATTGATACTTTTATCCGCTGGGAATGTGTATTATTTCTTCTTTTAAATGAAAGCTATTATGCTGACAGCTGCTAAAAAAATCACAGGGAAGTGAAGTTCAGTTGTTGAGCTGCATTTCATTTGTTGAACTACACATTCTTAAGGAAATGCTTTTATGTATTTATAATGAATTTCCCATCACTTGGCTTGACTAGATGAACCCAGTTTTAATGTTTCTGGTCTCTCTTGATTAAAACAAAAATCCTATTCATTATTCCTCACGAGACTTTAATAATCCCATCAAACATCAGACAGTAGAGAATAAAACTTGCCAACTAGCAGGGACTATGGACATCCCTCCACATTTAATTTTCTGAACAAAAGCAAGACATCTTTTTAAGATGAGCATTTAGTAACCACAATTCCTGGGTTGTGGTGTTGAGGAAGCAATTCAGCTAAAGCTGGTTTGTAATAGGCAGACATTTCTGAGGTAAATGTGACTTAAAGAAGAGTCACCATGTAAAGCTCATAAATGGAACACCCGATCTTAATGACGAACTCGTAAGACGATTATAAATTAATAATCTAGCTGAGATTTCATGCTTTTTCTCTCTGTTTTGATTTAGCGTGATCCCTTACGAGCGTAGAATATTAACCATACTGCAGTGGCTAACTATGGCAGACAATGACAGGTTGGTCTTTTCTCTGTCCCCCTCCCTTACTTTCGTAGCAATGAATGCAATGAAAGCGTTATTGATACCCTTGGTAGAAATTGAATTTTGATCAAACATATTTGTTTGCTAATGGCGTACACGTTGTATTGGGGAAATTTGAATAACATGGGTTAAAACTGTTGATCCATTGGTTTTCTATTGTTCCTATTTAGAGTAATAATCCAAGAATTGGGCAGATATCAAGATTTTTTTTAATTGGGCAATTGAGAATACATGGCATCATATTTTGCTCTGAGGTAGAGTCCAAAAAAGAACAATTGTAGCCTTTTCCCATCTCTTAAAGATAATTATCGAATGTTTTCCCAAGAGCTTATGCCTCTTTTGGCACACTTTGTAATGTTTTAATGAAGTTACAAAATAGAACACTAAATTGTTTCATCACTGGAAAATATATGAGATGGCAACTTTCTCATTCTTTGTTTTTTTTTCCATAAACAAGAGTGTATACAAGGTCAGAACCTCACCTGAACTCGCTCCCCAATAACTCAGCTTTACCTTATCCCAGCAAAGTGAAAAGGGAAAGGGAAAGTCCAGAATGCTCCTTGGTGTTGAGAAACTCCCATCCAGACAAGAAGGAGGGGTCAAGTGGGGAGATAGCCTACAGTCATTGCGCAGCCTCAAGAAACCTAGTGCTAATTCCCATTAAATTCCATGGAACTTTATCTGTTTGTTCCCAGGGAAGGGTGAGGAGTCTGGGGAATTTCTTGTATTATATGTAGAATATAATAAAGTAGTCAGCCTTCCATAGAAAACCTGCATATTGCGTGGGTCCGAAGGAGGGCCCTGCAACCCGTCATATCTTAGATATTAACAGTTTCAACTCTTTCCCTCGGGATGGCGCTATAGGGCATTATATGCCAAAAGAACTAGACACAGGAACAGTTTTTCCCTTATGCCGTCACTCTGCTGAACTCCTTATCCTCACAGTGCTGACTAATGCCTATGTATGCTTACCCATGTAATGTGGCTGTGGTATTATTATTTATCCTACTTATTATTATCTTCTTTACTCCTGCCTTTTATTGGTATTATTATTATTATTGTGTTGCTTTGCATGTACACTGAGAGTTTCTGTACTGGAGAAACAAATTCCGTGTGTTTCTAATTGGCCAAATAAAGTATTCAACTCAAGTATCTAGTGAGCTCCAGTTTTGCATGTACAAACCTCCCAGTTTTTATCCTAAAAGTTATTAGAATTCTGCCAGGGCAGACTGATAATCAGGTAGTCAGATAGTAGAGTCAGGATTTCCTAAAGCTATTGCTACAGTGAATCTTGATCCAGTACACGAGGGGTGTCAAACTCAAGGCCCGTGAGCCAGATCTGGCCTCTGGGGTCCTTAGATTGGGCCCATGGAGCTGCCCTGGAAACAGCAAAGGACCAGCCCGCAGTGCCTCTGCCAGCGAAAATGGACACGGTTGCAAGAGGTCGTCATAGCCGAAAACTGAGCTTGGGAGCTTGTTTTCACTAGCAAAGCACGGTTCACCGACAAAAGGGCGACCGACAAAAGCGCGACCGACTAAACCGCGGTGACAAAACCGCGAGTTCTGAACCACGCCAACGAATGAGTGCTGAATCGTGCCGACAACAGCGCGCCGACAGAAGGGCGCTGTAAACCTAACCCTAAACCTAACCCTAACCCTAAACCTAATGCTAACCCTAACGCTAACCCTAACCCTAAACGTAACACTAACCCTAACCCTAAACGTAACTCTCAACCTAACCCTAAACCTAACCCTAACCCTAAACCTAAACCTAAACCTAAACCTAAACCTAACCTAACCCTTACCTTAACTTAAATTGCCCTTCTGTCGACGCGCTGCTGTAAATCGCCCTTCTATCGACGTGCAGTTGTCGACGCGCTGTTGTTGGCGCGTTTATGACGTCGCAGTTTTAGCGACGCGGTTTTGTCAGCGCGTTTTTGTCATGCGCGCTTTTGTCGGGTCACGGCAAAGAACTCGGGCCACCACAGGTGCCTCTGACACAAGAGAAACCGAGCTGGCCACGCCTACCCTGGCCATGCCCCCCCACCCCCCAAGGTCAAACACAACCCTGATGTGGTCCTCAATGAAATCGAGTTTGACACCCCTGCAGTAAAGAGTGGCTGTGTCCTAAACACCCCCAGATCTCACGAACAATATCAGACACCCTCAGAGTTATGCAAAATGAAGCAAGCTTATCCTCATGATTTGAACTGTTATTGCTAATTTCCAGTCAACAGGCTTTGTTTACCTTTGTTGCAAGGTTCCAGCAATATTTTACTGGCTGTATTGATTTTTTTATTTTTATTTCTTCACCATCTCTAAATACAATGAAACTATTCATTTTATTCAGAGGAACGGGGTGAATGAATTTATAATTTTAGTATTTGGAAAGTGAGAATTGCATGTTAAATGAAACTCACTGATGTCTTCCTTTCTTTTCAGGCCTTACGCTTATGCATTCTACTCTGACCAACCAGATATGGCTGGCCACAGATATGGTCCATTTAGTTCTGAGGTTAGTACAGTTCGTCTTTGCCCATAAATGGAATGCAGCTCCAGGTTTTGCCATTTTCACATGAACCTGTATTACTAGTCCTGAGTGAAATGGTTTAAAGCTAGTTAATTGTTCACCTCTATAAGCCTCCAAAGGAAATAGGACCTTCTGGAAAATACAGACAGTACATTTATAGAGAGGACTAAACTGTTAATAAACATTATCCATCTGCTTAAAGTTTCAGGGACTGGCAAACTATGTCTGTGTATGTGTGAGTGTGGATGTGGATGTGTTGACAGGGCTAGAATTTTCATCAAAGACTTGCAGGCTTATTCTTGGATATAATTAAGGTTGACTAGTTTTTTTTTTAAAGCATTGTGGTATGAAAGGATCTGCTGTGGCCTATCAGGAGGTTGTAAGTTTGATCCTAGGTAGAGGCAGATGTAGAGTCTCCTGCTTGGGCTGGGGGTTGGACTAGATGACCTGCAAGGTCCCTTCCAACTCTGTTAATCTGTTAGGAGCATTTTTTTTTCATGTTTTGTAATAATTCAGTAATTTCACTCAAATGGTTAACGCCACATTTGCTTTCTGCACGATGTGCTAGGTCAGGAGGCTTATTTAAAACTGCTTCTAACCATCCTTAGTAAATGATCATGGCCACTTGGGTAGAAATCGGGAGAATAACAGGTAGGCTTCAAAGCAGTGTTTCTCAACTTCAGCGATTTAAGGACAGGCGAACTTCAACTCCCAGAATGCTCCGTGCTGACTGAAGTCCGCCTACCTTAACGTTGCTGAAATTGAGAAATGTTGCTTTGAAGCAGGAGTCTCCAACCTTGGCAACTTGAAGACTTGTGGACTTCAACTCCCAGAATTCCTCAGACGGCTGGCTAAGGAATTCTGGGAGTTGAAGTCCACAAGTCTTCAAGTTGCCAAGGTTGGAGACCCCTGCTTGAAAGCTAAAACCCATAGATGCAGCCAAACCGCTTGAGCGACTGAGGTCCAATCATACATGATGTTGATTCTGTGTTTTGGCCTTGAAATCCAGGGCAGAGGGACGTAATTCACACTGACCTCTGGCACCGCCATTGGGGCAAGGAATTCTCTGAAACTGTAATACTGTCTTCCTTTCCCCCTCTATGAATCCAGGGCCAATGTGAAGTTTGAGGGAAAAAACTTTTCCAGGTTCCAAGCACAGAGGTGAATTATTCTGTTACCTCGAGTCCTAATGAAGATCTACACAGTTAACCTTTGATCATAGACTCTGAGGGGAATATTCTCCCAGCCACATAAGAACTGCTTAAACAAACACCTCCAACAGGGTTGGGAGAACATGGAAAGAACTGATCAGTGTTGGCTTGCAGCTCCAGGCTGAGATTGCTAAGCTGGTGGATCCCTGCCACCATGGAAAACAATTTTATGGGCCTATTAAAGTTAATCAGAGTGTGGCAGACATTTGATCCACAGTTTCACTCCTGGATAAAGAAATGGCTTTTAAGAAGTCTATGTCTGAGGACAAGGAGAGGATTGATTTCTTCAGCAACGCGGCTTAAAAATCTTAATGTAATTATATTGCTTCAATCCAAGTTTCCCGATTTTATTCCAAGACTGTAGAACACTTAACCGTACAACACCCTTCTTCAGAACTGTGTACTCTGCAGATGTATTGGATGTCAGCTTCTACTCTTTCCTGGCCAATACGGTTATTGATAGCCCTTGAGGGATCTATCTCTTATATCTTTGGCTCTTGGGAATCCCCAGCTGGTTATTGCAACACTTGATTCTGCTGCTCTCCGTATATTTCAGGAGTCCAGGACCAAAATAATAGTGCTAAATTTAGAGCTGGAATTGGCTATCGGCCTTGTTCTCACTGTTGTGTGGAAGAGTCCTCTTACTGTGGAGTTCATCTCCACCCTTTTCAAGCGTGGGGGACAGTAAATTCTCTTCCCAAGGTGCAGATTTGTGAAAACAAGCTTTGGCTTCTGCAACTATTTTATTTGGCAGTGAGGTCCAGCTGCAGTCTATCAAACCCTGTTTTGATTAGTCCCAAATTAGATTATTCCCTGCAATTGGTATCATAGTCACTGAAAGTCAGATGAGAATCGGAAGCAACATGGAACAGTTGCGATTGTTTGGGGTTCAGAGATAAAAGCACATATTTCTGCTCCTCTCACTGAAATTTCTAGCCCTCAACTCATAAAGCTGCTATTTCCCTTGAGATGAAATGTGGAAGAGACATTTCCATCTCATATATCACCATAGGTTTGGCTTCCAAGTTTCTTCATGAACTTTTAGAGAAGTTAGCCTTTCTGTGGAAATTGCACAGATGTTCTGATTTACATCTGGACAGGATTCTTTGAAAGAATATAAGGAAGTGTATATATATATCAGGAAACTCTTAGAAGGAGGACCTAGAGCAGTGGTGTCAAACTCAGGGCCCACTAGCCAGATGAGTCATGTGCTGGCCATACCCACGCCCGGTTTAGCGAAGGGGAAAGAAGTCACAATACAAGTTTGACACCCCTGACTTAGAGGGGAAAAAACCTCAGGTAGTCCAGGAGCAAAATAATATTGCTAAATTTAGACCTGGAATCAGCTATAGACCTCCTCCTGATCATCTCCTTTTCAAGCATCAATAATATTGGCATTTGACAATCAAAAGCAATTCTTTCCTCTTTCCTAACCCTATTCCACTGATTTGTTTTGAGCTGGCAAAATATTCAACATTTGGGATTAATCTTAGAAGTTAAGGTGCTTAATCAATAGAACTGGGAAACAAGTTATAGAAGACCCAACTCCCAGTTCCTTAAAATAATTATTTTTGCACCCAATTGGGTTCATATTAATTGATTATGACCCCTAAAATATCTCCTGATGTGAAAAATATTTCGTAGTGTGAAAGCAAGCTAAAATAGCATCTATATTCGGTTAAAGCTGTAATTATAAAAAAGTTTACAATTTTCAATGAGTTTTTATATTTTTATTACGTTGGGAGTATTACTACTGTATAGCTAAGCATGTTGTGAATTTAATAGCGTACCATATCATAGTTAAGATTATTTTTTTACTGCATCACTAAAGAGGTATGGATTATGAATAGGCAGAGGAAAATATACACAAGGCATTAAAGTCCATTACAGGTCAAACTTTAGAGTGATTTGGGGGTTAAGATGAAGAAATACCACCTGCCCAGAATTGTTGGTGAAGAAGGTTACATGTAATTATTGCTAGGATGATTGCTACTCTCTCTGTGTGTTTGTGTGTGTGTGCATTGTGGGTATAGTTTCAGGATATGGCTTGTAGCAATGTTGTGTTTGTATTTTGCTATCTATATGTTCTTAATGATTACCTTTGATAGTATTCATCGCAGGAATCATAAACCATAAATTTCAAATTAAATGAATGTATTCTTCAGCTAAAAGATTATCATCTGCAGAAGATTATCATCTGCAGAATGCAATTACCCTCTGATCCTTTTTTAAAACGCTGTTGAAAAGCAATAACAAGGGCAACCACAACAAAACAGTCGCCCCCAAACCCCCTGGAAAGATTAGGCTGGTTAAAAGAATTGTCCTCCCCATATTGCCAAGACAGTTGCTGAGCTTTGGAGTTCAGTAATATGTGGCGTTCTACAGGTCCCCACTCTTGCTTTAGAAGATAATTTACAAAGTCATTGCAAGAGGACCAATAAAGGAGAATATTTGTAGCTCAGGGTTGAAAGGAGGGGTCCTTTGGTGCTCTCTTAGCTTGGTTGTTTTCTTACAGGTGTTTCGTTACCCAAACTAGACCAGCACTGATGATGTTATTCAGTTTGGGTAATGAGACGTCTGCAGGAAAACAACCAAGCTCAGAGAGCAACAAGGACCCTCCATTCCAAGAGGACTGTGCAGTAGAACTAACATAGCTGCAAGATAAGCTTTGATTTCAATATCCAATGATGCTGGCTTCTCGGCTTAGTCTTGCCCATGTTGATTGGAGTTAATGAAGTCCAGTGGCCTGGGCCAGGCTCCAGGTTGGCCAACTAAGTCAAAATATTGAATATGAGAGCTTCTTTTGCCTTCTGACCTAGTCATGATTTTGGATTGTGGCTCCCTACTGAGATCAAGCTTTGAAGTTTGAGCTCTTCGGTTTATATTTAGTACTAGCCAATAACCTGGCATTGCCCGGGTATTTATTTATAGGGGGGAAATGTCCAGATCAAATGTAATTTCTCATGTTGGATTTTCCCCTTACCAGAGGGAGCCCCCTTGTGGAGTACTGTGAAGCCGTTACCATGGCAACTGTGCTGTACAGTAGAAGCCACTGTTAGAAAATTTTTCCTATATATAAAACAGGGAAACCACAAGCAACCACAGGCAATAAATCTTACTTTAAGACCAGAGGTTTATTGTTTCATGAACAATTTTTGAACATGAATAGCAAACATAGCATTTTTAAAATTAGCATCTTATTGCAATAAGATCCACTGTCATAGCTGAATCCAGCAAGGATTAGCTATGGCCAGTGGCCCTGAACTCTTTCCAAGACATTCTTTTTATACTTTTCTGCACATATTTCACAACTTACTTTCTTGTTCTGCCTTACTGACCGTCATTCTCTGCAAACATCCATGTACATTTGAAGTTCTCAGATGCTTGTTACTTTCAGTTCCTCATTTCCCACTATCTCACTCTTCCTGCTCTAAATATATCCATATCAAGTACAAACTTTGCAGAACATGCAGCACAAGTCAGCACATTTGGAAATATTAGTGTGGTACATTTTGCAATTATGCTAGTTAAAATTTTGGTTCAGTGAGGCCTGCAAGGTCACTCCCAGGCCTATTACCTGCAATGTTCCAATGAATATTTTCTCCCCTCACACCATTTTAAGGCACAACGGGCTATATCTTAA